AGTAGCATTTATCAGTCTATGCACAAGATCAACTGACCTTTTCATTGGTTTTACATCTGCAGAGATGATGACAACAAACCTGTTTCTCTCAAAGGCTTTTACAGGAGGTCTCAGGAAGTACCTGCATTACTACAGAGCTTGTGTTCTCAGCACTTCACCCACCCTCAGCCTGTTGACCATCAGCTTCCTCTTTCGTAAGGTTGGCCGCCAACTCAGGTGAGGTCAAATCCTTCTCTTTTGTTGGTGTCTAGCCTGCATGACACACTTTTGAACCTCAGCCTCACCCGGTCATCCATACAGTCGTGTCAGACAGTGAGGACCTTGATGCAAAAATCATCTGATCTCTGCTTTCTTTTAATCTAAGGTACCTGTCAGAGCTGTGCTGTGTTGACGGGCCTTTGGGTGTGGGCCAGGCTACCTTCCCTGTGGTGAGTGCTCTTTTATCTGCAAACTGCAATATGTCATCCATCATGGCTGTGTTTAGCCTATCAGATCGGGTGTCAGCTCAGTGCCATGTGGCTCTCCTCAGGGTGTTAAACTGCTGTCCTACCTGTACAATGAAGCACAGCATAACTGCAGCAACGTGAACTATCCGGTCCTGCTGTCGCTGCTGAAGAGCTGCTGTGAACCTTACACAAGGTCAGTCACTGAGCTTTTCTTACAAACGTGTCCTAAAAACCAAATATATGACCCAATAATGACCTTGCCCACTAATATAACCCAAGGACATGATTTTACTTCACTGATCAGTGGAACTTGCTGTATTGATCTGTTTTCGACAGACTTGTCAGGATGATGTGTGACTGTTTTCCCTGTGCTTCACTCAGGTTTGTGTATGACTGGGTGTATAGTGGCGTGTTCCGGGATGTCCATGGCGAATTCATGATCCAGGTCAATGAGGAGTACCTCAGTTTCAGAGGTGAGTCGACACACAAACACATGCTGTCGCATAAACACTTTGGCTTCAGTCAGCAGGTTCTGAAAATGAAAAGCCTTGGCAGACAGATTGTCTAACAGAAAAAAATAGATTTCATTACAGACTTTATTGCCTAGTTGGATTTGTCCTTGTGTCTATAAAGGACGTCATGAAGTTATTGGATGATAATCAGTAGGAAACAGAATCAGCGACCACAGCTGTGGGGACCAGAGCCATCTCCGCTCAGTAAGCCACAGGGACAAACACAAATTAATACTGTTCCTTTATTCTCTTCAGTTGGCACAGCAAGCAGGGTAAAACATCTCATAACATAAATTCTTTTTTTTTCTTCTTTCTTGTAATTGTCCTTGACAAATCTAATCTGGCTGAATATTTTTTTAGTCCAATTAATGAGTCAACTCCTTGAGGAGTGCAGGAGAGTGAAGTGGAGACAGGAGGTGATGAGGCTTACAGGGCAGATAAAGACACACCCATCTGCACTCTGCAGGAACTGAACAGCTTCTGTTGCCTTGGTCAGGCTGCTCTTCAATGTCATGTCCTGTTTCATGTCTTAAATAGTTTTTCATGACCAAGACCAGATTTTAATATTTACTGTTTTATATGAAGATGCATTCAAACTTTATTGAGTGATACAATTAGGGCTGCAACTAACCATTATTTTTTTATTACCAGTTAAATTGCTGATTATTTTTTTTACAGGTTTATTATTTGATCTAAAAAAACATCAGATAAAGAGCTCAACCCAAAATCCCATGTTTTGTCTGTCTAATGGTCCAAAAGTAGTAAAACAATATAGCCATTTTCAGACGAGACCTGCGAGTAAAATTCAGAGAATTGGCACAGGCACATTTACAACAGAAACAAATCGCTCAGACGAGAGGTGGAGCAGACAGGGGCAGGAAGTGACATATTAACGCTGTTGCATAGATCTTAACAACACAGACACCTGTGTCTGCTCTTATTGCCACAAACTCTCTCGACATCTTTTCACCCAGAAGTATATGTTTTCTTGTTCTTAATTTTTGCTTCTGTGGTGTGTTAGAAGCCCCCCCCCCCCATGTATGAAAGCAGCTTATGTAACTTCGGTCGTTAGAGGTCTCTCAGTCAAAATAATAACAAAGGACAATGACATTGTGAAGCATGTGGTATTATGGGAATTGTTGTCTTCACTATTTCTAATCTTCTTGGGTCACTTGGTTTCATGTTTGCACTTTACTGGAAGAGCTTCAGCGACAGGATGTGCAGCAAATGGCAATGGATAATCGTGATCTATTATGAGGGACAATTATTTGTTGAAGGAAAAGAAAACAGATGACTGGCTAACTGGGTAGCAGAAGTTATAGCGGAGATGCGCAAAGCCACGTGCAAAACGGATATGACTCAATTAAAAATTTATCAAAAGGAATGTTCCCTTAACTTGAATTAAACTGGAGATTTCTGTGGTTTTGGACATTGTTT